GGAGAGAGCATCGCTTTGGGTTGTTACTCTTCACAGGCAAGAAATCGGATGAATTATATGGACTCACCGCGGGGGGTGAGAACTCGCCGAGGACCCTCTTTTTTCTTTCCTGAGGGGATGAGATAGGACGAGGTTAGGTCTGACCTTCAGACCAGTCAGCAGATAAAGCGGGAATAAAAAGAAGAAACCGGCGCCGAGGAATATAAGGGAAAGGTATAACAGGGAGAATCCAGTGGTGGATGTATAGGGGTGTAAACCACAGGGGTTCCGTGAGCTAGCGTGCCTCCGTCGAGCATCCCCGTGTCGCATCGCGATTTCCATTCGCTCATCCACTCGTCTTACCTAACCTGACCTCAGTGCTTTGGCTATCACCTTGATTTTACCTGCGTCGTGAATGCTCGCGCGGTAATTAACTTTTTGCGTGTGATTCACACCCGCTGGGAAGAGGGATCGCGGAGTTCAGCAGGACGGCGGGGGGTGTAGCGGGGCGAGGAGGGGGAGGGTCAACGGCGAGAGGGGGGGATGAAAAGGAAAAAGATTGGAATAACGAGGAAATCGTCGTAATGGTCGAGGATTTGTCACGGTCCGGGTGGCATCCGTTGGACAACATCGGGGACAATGTCGCCGGCAGGCGATTCACGCACCACTCTGGACTTTCTCCTTTTGCCATATTAGAAACGTGTTCCGCTTCCTAAAAAAGATTCTTTCCCTTTATTTCTTAATCTCTCTCTCTCTCTCTCTCTCTCACGTGGTTGTTCAAGCGGGAAGAGATACCGTACTGTGTTAACCTTATATCTCGCCGATATATTTCGTCATTTTTAACGTGCTGCGAATTCGTGTATTTTTTTTTCGTACAGTCAGTGTCGCGATTTAGCTATTTTTTTTGGGGGGGGGGAATTTTGTATACTTTTTTTAGGGGTTATCTGGTATATCGTTGTCAGTATCGCACGTTGTTCAAGTGTCCCGAGATCGTATGAATCTACGGTTAACTCAGACGCGATTACGACTGTTTAGAGAATTTGTCTGGCGCGGTGTGGTTATCTTGTGTAGTATTATTACTAATACGGTATCGGTTGTACCTTCGGCGCTTCTTATTGGGCTAACCAACGCTGGACCAAACACCCGTTATTACCTATTTGTCGGGCTTCGCCGTTAACGCTATCAGAAGTAATGAAACGCGTGTATCTTATGACCGCATAACTTGGATGGAATTAATTAGCGATACGTCGGACTTTATTTTCAATTGTTGAATCTATTCAATCGTTTCATGTAAATTGAATGGTTATCTGTGCGAGAAAAAAAAATTTCATTTTATTTCCTTCTCTGGTCAGAGATCTTCAGAGCAGATAGTCATTGTCAGCTTACTTATATCTGGATATTATAGAAACGACACGCACGCACCGCGCGACAAACGACGCCGGCGCTTCGGACAAATGCAGTAGGTGTCGCGCGCTGCATATCTGTTTTATAAAATTACAATTTATGTACCGAGCGAAAAGTTTAAATACAATGAAAATTATTAAAAAGAATTTATTCCGCGCGTTATTAAATTGATTATGGCACTTTTTTAATCAGTCCCTTCTTTCGTAAAGCAATTATTTAATTTCTCTACGTAACGATTATTTTTTAATCCCGTCAGATTAGTTCTGAACCAATTACATTTTTCATGTATAAAATAGTCTCTGTCTCTCTTCAACGGTAAAATTTCCTACAACGAACCACTCGCTTTCAGCGCCCAAAATAGTTTCCTTGTAAATGGACCCATCTCTTTGCTTTTTCAATCGGACAACCCCTTCTTCAACTAATCAGCATACATTCCAAAGTTATCATCGTCTTCGTGAAACTAATTAATCTACTTTTGGAAATGGCAGTAAGCTATCATTCGATCATAAATTGTCTGATCATTTGATTTTGCGACATCGTCGCTTTTTTTCCAATTTAGTTTAAAGAAAAAAGTTAAAAAAAAAAGTGGAGATGGAAACAGAGCCATCGATTCTCACGAAATCTTGTCTACGTATTATATGGCGACATTCACATTAGAGAAAGGTAGTAAACCGGCAACGTTAGAAATCGCTCGATTCGACGTTTTCATGTCAAGGTGTCGCAGCGACTCGTTTCCATCAAGGCGTGTAATTAACGGATAAAACGCGACGCTTAACGCCACGACGCGCCGTTCGTTTTTTCTCGCTCCCTCTCTCCCTCTCTCTCGCTCCCGTTGCTATTGAGCGAACGAGCGAGTGTCCAAAATGATAGATTCGCATTTCATGAGCTTAGATGACTGTTAAAACGTCTCACGTGTACCTATTGAAACGAAGGAAGGACCCTAATTTGATGAATTAGTCAATTGTCAAAGTTTAACTTGCAATATCACGTCATCGGACATGATACTTCACGGGCAAATGAATCTAGCCTGTCCATTTGACTTCTACGGTAGAACCACCTTCAGGTGGTACGTTTGTACTGAATAACCCTATACGTATAGATATACACAATATACATAAGCCTTCGAGTTGGCATAATTATCCAATTTTTTTTTAACGAGTTTAATAAACTGTATAGACTCTTCGCGTACGGTAGCAATGGCTCCCTACTTCAGCAGTTGGGAGTTGGCTGTGTTAAGGAGAGTCAAAAGAAATTCATAGAATCGTATACTTCACTGTTATATGCAACTGGTTGATTACTTCGGCCAGGCTTGTCTAGTAGGTCGTATTGGTATGCTTGTTCCTGGCTATAACGAGTTTACTCTTAGGATATAATACGCGGGTAGGCGAAGAGTGCAGTAAAATTCTAAGATTTTTCTCAGCTCTGATTGGTGGCTCTGCGCACAAAGCTTTCTGATATTTCTGTTGAAGAATTATGTTCACCTGAATTTTCCGCAACATGCCTTTGGTGACGATGACGCAATATGCCAATAGTAAATGGCGACGCTGTCGGAGGATTTAGTTTGCGGCGACGTAGGGGAAGTGGAAAGATCTACTTGAATCAGTCGTTACCATGGATACCTACGTGAGGATTCCTCTGAAATTTTGAGTTCTTATTTTACAGGCATTTATCTGTCACGTAGTAAACGATATCGTCTATCATCCGTTGT